TATATGTGTGTGTGTGTGTGTGTGTGTGTGTGTGTGTGTGTGTGTGTGTGTGTGTGTGCGTTTGCACCAGCAAGTGGGTGTGCGAGTTTGTAAGCGTATACACCAGGTATTTTGTCCTTTAAAAGGGGCATTATATATAATATACTGTTTAAACAAGAACTATTAATTTTCCGGGGTGTCGTTCCAGGAAGTGCGCGCAACACCAGACCTTCACCAAAGTTTACTTATTCCGGAAGCATGCCAGTTTGTCACAGGCCCAGTTTGTCACAGGCCCAGTTTGTCACAGGCCCAGTTTGTCACAGGCCCAGTTTGTCACAGGCCCTGTTTGTCACAGACCCAGTTTGTCACAGGCCCTGTTTGTCACAGACCCAGTTTGTCACAGACCCAGTTTGTCACAGGCCCAGTTTGTCACATGCCCAGTTTGTCACAGTTTGTCACAGGCCCAGTTTGTCACACGTCCAGTTATATAATTCATATTAAAGAAATACAAATACAAATAAAACAAAAACAAGCAAAGAATCCCCCCCAAAAACCCCAAAACAAAACAACAACAACCCAACAACAACCAAAACCAAACAACAACAACCACAAACAAACAAACAACACCCCATCTTTTTTCAAGATGATTTAGGTCATCCAAAAGGTAAAGCATTTGCCTTTTTCTTATAGGCAGGCACTGGTTTCGAAGTGAAGGTACACTTTTTACAAAAATGAAACTTTTTTTTCGGGGTGGGGTCTCCCCCGATATTTGTTTTCTTTTTTTTCTTTAAAAAAATTGAGCCTATGATATTTGAATAGTTTGCTGACATCTATACATCCTATACATTATTTGTGAAAGTTCGTCACTTTCGCAGCCTAAAACTTCCGAACCTCTTAACTTTCGAATTTGACAAAATTAATGGTATTTCAGAATCATATAAAGGGTGCACAGTTTTATTGAGGAGCCTGAAGTCACTGTAGTTTAATTTTCAGTTTTTTTGTTTGTTTCGTTTAGATCTAATCTTGGGAAAGTCCGTCTTCTAAGACGTCATTGTAAACAAGTGAGACTTCCGTTCACTAACCGTGCGCACTGTTTTGAGAGTATAGATCTAAACCTTCAGAATTTTAGCACCTCTCAAGATTTGTTGCTCCATTCCAATAGAGTGTAAATAGAGTAGGCCAACGACTTTCGGCTGATGTTAATGCACCGATCATTCCTTTCATCTAAAGGGGGCCCAGCTAGTATTTATATTACAAAGTAATTGAACGTGTGGAAAATGTAATAAGCTCAATTAGACAGGGTTTCGGGGAAATTTCGATGACAGAATATGCTCCTCAAGAAAGGAGGTTTGTAATATTTGTATTGTTTAATGCTGGTGTTTTTCCCGCCCCCATGGACTCACAGATTATTTGGGAGGTGGGTTTTTTTTTGCTTTTTTAGGTGTAAATATTTTACGGCGCTTGCAACTGCATAAGGTCATAATATGAGCACCAAACATTTTCAATTGTTAGGAACATTTGAATTTTGCCCGGGTGGCGGTCGAAGCCTACTCTTATCGATTTTAGACCACCAAGGGATCTTTAATGTGCGCAACTTGCACACGGACCCTCCGAGATTTTCGCCCTTGTACGAGATGGCTAGGTGTAGATCTTTCCTACAAATAAACGAATCCAAAGTTCAAACACATGGATATACAGCGTAAGAATATTCATTTAGATAGTAATCAAAGTAGCGGTGATTGCCAACATTACAAGCGAGTAAAAAAAAAAAAGAGCAAGGAGCTGCAGTGATACAAACAATAGAATGACATTTGAGGAGAACACACACACATACTTTATTGTAGTGGAAATGATTTCCTGAAACAAGCAGAAATAGGATACATTTTTTGTTTATTTATTGCAGTAAAAGAAATAAAAAAGACAACACTGAACCATGTAAACGTTCAATGAAAGTAAAAAGTAAATATATTACGGTAGAAGTAAAGTTTAGCCCCCCACCCCATGTCTTCATAAACCGCGACAACTACAGCCTGTACTGCTTCCTGTTACTAGGAAACGTTGTTGTTGTTGTTGCAACGTCACGCTCGGAGACCTCAAGTGACCCCAAGAGTGACCCCAAGAGTGACCCCAAGAGTGACCCCAAGAGTGACCCCAAGAGTGACCCCAAGAGTGACCCCAAGAGTGACCCCGAATGTTGCTCACTACGGCAAACATTTCAGCAAGAGTCTGTATAAAGTAAAATTGTATATCTGTGTGTGTGTGTGTGTGTGTGTGTGTGTGTGTGC